TTGCCAAAGCTTCTAAAAATAACAAAAGTGAGGGGAAGACTTAGGGGAATTTTTATCTCAGCTGCAAAACCAGGAGTGGGCATGATGGACTAACAGGGACCAAAGACAGTCTCCCACCTTAAGAAACAACACAAAAAAGCCAGACAGATGTATAAGAAAAGGGATTTTAGAAACCGGGCAATCGGTACTGCAAGACAGTGATCTTAGAGACAAGGGAAGCCAATGAGATGATCGACCCTGAAAACTGCCCCAGCTTACTGCCTGGGCAGAGTTTTCCTGCCACAGTAGGACGACGGGGGAGTGGGGGTGGCCCAGATGGAGCCCAGAAGTACCCCTGAGTTGAAAAAGACAGACCTGATAACTGGAGGAAGCCAAGGCAGCTGGAATTTGCAAAGCAGAAGATGGGAGAGCAGAGAGGTCCACACATGAAGGGGATAGAATCATGAAAGCTGCAAAAAGTCCCCTCTGGTCTTCACCAGAATCCACCTCAGCACATGTGTTAAGAGAAAAGTACCCCAAGCAAGCGGAACACCCACTGGAGAGGAGCAGGTAGAACAATCCCCAGAGCTCACACAAGGCAGAAAATGGTTGGTATTGCCACCAGCTGGCAAGGTTTGGAAAACATCACGTAATGTGTCAGGAACTGGGCAGAGTATTCAGTACTGGGGAAAAAAATGAGCTTTAGCCTAAAGGTTGTTCTGGTTCCACCCAAGAAAGCATAAAAGCAAACCTCAGAAAAAAAATCAAACTATTTCCAAATGACATAATTGCATCCCAGAATAAAGCTCAAGAAAATTTTTAGAAAGCAAAACCATCCAGCACCCAATAAAGAAAAACTTAGAATGTTCGTCATCCCCCCAAAATTGTCAAACATGCCAAGGAGACAGACAGGACATAACAACCCACAAAGAGGAGAAAAACCAACCAACAGAAACAGACATGGAAATGATAAAGATGACATGATTAGTAGAGATCCAAGATCTAAGGTAGAGATCTAAGGCCCTCAGCCTTAGAACAGTTAATAATAACTATTTCCCATAGGTTCAAGAAAGTAATGAAAGCACAAGCATTGTAAGGATAGACATGGTAAAACCACATGGAACAAAACCAGCAGCGGTCCTTCACTCCATCTCCTCATTCTCTGATAGTCATTAAGGTAATTAGTTACTAATTCCCTTTAAAGAAAAAGTAGGGGTATCTTTATTTTTTAAAATACTGTGTGGGTACGTGTTGCCCTGGTATCCAAAAAAAGTTATTTTGTGGCTTGATGTGTTAAAGGCTTTTCATCTCAGCAAATTTTGGATTGCAATAGGCCTGAGGTAAGAATTTGCAACCTCAGAACTGCCCATGCAAAAGAAATAAGTGGCTAGAGGTTCTGGAACATCTCACTAAATGCCAACTACTTCTCTTTTTTCCTTTTCTTTTTTTTTTTTTTTTTTGGTCATTTCTCCTTTCAGATTTTGATACTGTTGTTGCAAAGGGTATGAATTTTAATAATTAATACACAACATGAACTCAAAGTATTACATAGACTGTCTTGACATAGATTGGCAGGATTGTTACAGCCCCAATTTTCTTTATTCTATTGTGGTAAAAAATGTATATATAGAGAGAGAACATAAAGTTTGACATTTCAGTCATTTTTAAGTGGCATTAATTATATTCTCAACATTATGGATATAATTTTCCAAAACTATTTCATCACCCTAAACAGAAACTTTCAAACCATTAATTAATTAATAACTCCCAACACCTCACATTCCCCCACTCCCATGACTGGTCCATGCGAACTCCTGCTTTCTGTCTCTAGGAATTTGCTTATTGTACGCTCCTTATATAAGTGGAACCATACAATATTTGTATTTTATGACTAGCTTCTCTCAGTATAATGTTTTCAAGGTTCATCTATGTTATAGCAAGTATGAGAACTTATCCCTTTTTTATGACTAAATAATGTTCCATTGTCCATATATGCCATTTTTTGTTTATCCCTTCATCTATTGATGGACATGGGTTGTTTCTACCTTTTGGTTAGTGTAAATAATGCTGCAATAAAAATTGGCATAGAGATATCTCTCTGAGTAACTATTTTCCATTTGATTGGGTATATACCTAAAAGTGGAATTGGTGGGACATATGGTAACTACATATTTAGTTTTTTGAGAACCTGCCAAGCTGTTTTCCACACTGCTGCACCATTTTCCATTCTCACCATCACGTACGAGGATTCTAATTTCTCTATATCCCTGCCAACACCTATTCCTCCCCCATTTTTTTTATCATAAGCATCCTAGTAGATGTAAAGGGCTATCTCATTATACTTTTGATTTTCATTTCCCTAATGGCCATGATGAGGAGACTCTTTCATGGGCTTACTGGCCATTTGTATATCTTTTCTGCAAATGTCTATTCAAGTCCTTTGCCCATTTTTCAATATTGAAAACACTTACTGGTTCTATGATTTGCAAGTATTTTCTTCCATTCTGTAGGGATTTTTTTTCACTTTCTTGATAATGCCCTCTGAGATACACAAATGCCTTTAGTTTGGATGATGTCCAATTGTCCTATCTTTTTTGTTGTTGTTGCTAATGCTTTGGGGGCCACATCTAAGAATCCACTGCCAAATTCAAAATCAGGAAACTGACCCATGTTTGCTTCTAAGAGTTTCATGATTTTAGTTCTTATACTCAGGCCATTGATTTATTGTGAGTTAATTTGTGGACATGATGTGGTGCAGGGGTCCAACTTCACTCTTTTGCATAAGGAAATCCAGTTGTCCCAGCACCATCTGTTGAAGAAAGAATTCTTTCCCAACTGCATGGACTTAACATTCATATCAAAAATTCGTTGGCTATAGATGTATGGCTTCATTTTTGGACTCTCAATACTATTCCAATGGTCTGTATATCTATTCTGATGCCAGTATCATACTGTTTTGATCACTGTAGCTTTGCTTACGTTTTCAAATATTGTTCTTCTTTTCCAAGATTGTTTTGACTACCAGGAGTCGCATGCCATTCCACAAAATCTGAGTATCTGTTTTTTTTTCTTTTTTTCATTTTTGCAAAAAAGGATGTTGGAATTTTCAGAGGCATTGCCCTGAACCTGTACATTGCTTTGGGCAGAATCTCAATACTAAGTCTTTGTATCCATGAACACAGAATATCTCTTGCCAATTTCTTTTGATCTAATGGAAAGTGAATTCAGGGTAACCAATCAAAAGATCTCAATGACTATACAATACTGTACTCTTGTCCCCTGACTTAATGTGGCTTTCATTTCTCCACTCTGTGATGGAATTATGATTAACTAATCCTGGAATAATTTCCAGGGTGAGTGAGATCTCATATTGAAAACAAAACAAAAGCTCAGAGGAGCTACTTAAGTATTAAGAATCTTTAACAACTTAGGTAAGAAATACTGCTTTATTATTTTAATTTATAGTTCCATCACCAAGTTAATGAAACATATAAACACACAAACATACGCACACAGCAAAACAATGAGTTATATTCTTTATTTGTATAATTGATATTAAACCTTATTAGAGGAGGAGACAATTATCTAATATTAAGAGTATTACAAAAATAATTGTATTTTCTGTATTCCACTTAATTCTTTTAAGAATTCAATGTTCCATACATCAAGTCTCATTCTAAGTATCTCAGACTTTCCTGAGAGGTATGTCTTGGGACTGTCCACCTTGGATGATGGAGAAATATATGGGAGATTATACGGAATGACTCATTGTGCTGCAGTGGGCTCCAACCTTTTACGCTTATGAACACCCCTAAGTTAAAAAAAGTTTTGAGCACACTCCTAAAATAGAGGTGTTTATAAATTACATACTTCAACTACTCCCAGCGTGTTAAATTATTAGCAAAGCTTCATTTCTTTTGTTTTTAGACAAAAAATAGTAAGTTCTAATATTTTTTTCCTGCAACACACCAAATCATCTTGTATCCCAGGATGAAGACAACTGCTTTAGAGTATTAAAAAAGGAGGGAGACAAGGGGCAAAGGTTTTTAATCCTTATTCTATGCCCTAGCTCGCTTATTCTTCTTGAAACTCAGAGACTCTGAATTTCTGTCTCTTTCTTGAGAGTACTGTATCACTTAATCTGTTAATGTTCCTTCACTGGTATCACTAATAAAAATGTCTCCCTACTTCATCATTTTATAAGAAAGCTTCCCAGTGTTGCTTTTAAGGTCAAGAATCCTGTTCTGTGACATGTTAGGTTAGAAGACAAGAGAGCCCAGAGGATCAGGTGGCTCCCAGGAGCGGCAAGGAGAATCTGCCCTCTTGGCAGATAGTCATCAGGGGCAGGTCTGGGGGCTGACAGACTCCTCCAGAGGTATGGTACATTATCACAAGGATTTTCCTTTGGAAATCAGTCAGGAAATAAAACTCCTTCTCTTGCCAAGTAAGTGGCTGGTCACTCATCCCTTCCAACAGAAATATAATGGCAGACAGGGATTGCTACCAATCTCACGGGCAAAGAAATTACAAAAAGCCCAAAGTTAAATGATGTCATCACCCAGTGGTAGAACTGTCGGACTACTTTTCTCATTTCCCACACTGATAATAAAAGTATTATCCCTTCCCTTTGTAATCTTTTGTTTCTAAGGTGACACGTACTCCCACCTACCTTATTATGTGTTAAACCACATTTTGGGTCACACTAGAAAACAGAATGAAGCCATCAGGCCAGGCTCAAACATGTGTGCTGAGAGAGAGGGAACTGTAATGCTTGCATAGACCAAGTGATGGGACGGGATAGGAGTGTTGGGAGTGAGACCTGACCCAAGTGATGTGTGGTCTGGTGGTTTTGTCCGATTTTTTTTATTATTATTATGTTATGTTAATCACCATACATTACATCATTAGTTTTTGATGCAGTGTTCCATGATTCATTGTTTGTGCATAACACCCAGTGCTCCACGCAGAACGTGCCCTCCTTAATACCCATCACCAGGCTGTCCGATTTTTTTTAAACTTACATCGCTGAGCCTTTCCCGGGAGCTGCTCCTGTGGAAGCCCTTGGATTCTCCACTGGCACTGTCACTGTCACTGTCCCTGCAGCTGTTCTGGCCTGGCTTGAGCTAAAAGCAAAAGAAAAAAGGAAAAAGAAAAACGTCAGTGGTCTCCTCACACAACTGCTCCTTTGCCCCATGTTCTTCCAGTCTTGTCAAAAGTGAACAACTTAAGGTCCTGCGTTTTAACATTCTTCTCAGCTTCTGAGTCGTGCCAAGCAAGTGGCCACAGGAAGAACCGTGGAGAAGGATAAGCAAAACATTTACCATAAAATGTCAGTGTAAAATCTGAGTGAGCAAGCCTACCAAAAAAAAAAAAAAAAAAAAAAAACTTGACAAAAATCTAACAAAGGTCCATGAATCTTGGAAAGTAATCGTCCCTCAGATTTGTCCTCTGTTCCAGAGGGAGCTTTTCTGTCAATAAAAAGACCAAAACTCACTGAATTAGCTAAAGTCAGATTCAACTATGGTTGCCCATCTTCTTTCCCCTGTCCTCCTCTGAAGAAAGAATACAACAAAACAGGACAAAAAAAACAATGTTTTCTTCCCCTAGGAGAAAATGATGAGATGCTGTGTGTTACTGTTTCACCATTGGGAAGACACTGATCCTGATTTCTGAGACGACATTCTGGAGGCCTCCTGACAGGTATTTAAGAGTACCCAGGTTAAGACCTACAGCTTAAGTAATTAAGCCACAACTCATTCAAAAAGTATGTATTAGGTGCCACATCTGGACCTGGTAGTAAGCGCTGGAAATATGATGCTAAACCAAAAAAAAAAAAAAAAAAAAAAAAAAAAGTCTCTGATCTTACGAAGCTTACATTTTAGCAGTTTCTACACATTTACCCAGTTCTGATTTTCATGTTCAGAAAATTCTACACATTCACCCATCTCTGACTTTCATGTTCAGAGAGTTCTACACATTTACCCACCTCTGATTTTCCATTAAAATGAATAAAACACACAGAATTTCAAACCAGTATTCTATATGAGACTAGGAGACACACACATATGGACCATTAGCCAGCACTGTCATCATCAACACTGACCACCTTTGGAGAGACCCCAAGCAATCTGATGCAGGTTACAACTCATAGCCCTTTTATAATGTTCTCAATCTAGCAAGAGAAAGACTGCAAGACAGGCAAATATAACAACATAAGGAAATACATGATAAATGGAACACCAAAAAGTAGCCAGTGACATTAGGAAGGAAAGTAATCTCTGAAGCCTTGGATTTTAAAAGCAGATTGAGCTCATATGGCTGAGAGGAGACGGGAAGATACTCTTGATGGGAGAGAGGCAGAAAGCAAAGGCAGGAAAGCAACATGCTAGGAAATGATCAGAAGGAGTCTTTTCTGAAACAGAGATTTCCTTCTGGGAGGAAATAGGAAGAAACATTACAGAGGGGTACATGGATCAGACATGGAAAGTCTCAAACAAAATACAAGCCCCATGCTTCTGGGCAGGAGGGAATTTCAGAGAGAAGAACAAGTAATAGGTAGCAAAATTTTTGCCTGCAGGTTTTCATGTGGCTCCGGGGCCAAAGGGGAATGTGAACCAAGACAAATGGAGACTGAATCTGAATCCGCATTCCCTAATGCACCTCTTTTAAAAAACTGCAGTTCAGATCCCACTTTGGGTCACACCATCTAATAAGCTGCCCTCAAATCCCCACTATACAGAACTTTTTGCTTTCAGCCTTTCTACAAATCCACTTTTATCACTTTCTTCTAAAAATCCCTTTCTCCAGAAGTCTTCTCTAATGGAACCCAGAAAAATGATACTCATTTTAGTTTGTATCCTCCTGGGCCCTTAACTACTTAGTTTCCTTCTAAATTACTGCTAAATCTGCTAATTCTAAGTTAATTCAGATGCAAGCTATATGAGCCTTTTCTTATTACTATGGAATAAAAGTTCAGAATATTGTCATTCTCTTCAAGTTTTCGTTTTTATACTTATAATAAAAGAGAATTTAATCTAAAATGAAAATCACTTGATCTCAATTTCCTGAAAATGTCATGTCCGTTTCTGTCCTGCATCTGTCTCTTCACCCTAGATATCCTCAACCCGTAAAGCTCACCCTCACCTTCTCTGTGCTTTCCAGGCCAAAACTGTTTTGAAAGCTCAGATATGATCCACTATATTCTTTGAAGAGCTAGCTAGCTTGTTTGCTTGCTTGCTTGCTTGCTTGATATGCCATCAAAGTTTACGTAATATATCATTCTTCCTTAATGGCCTTTGATAATTATGAAACATTTTCAAGTCTGAAAAGGCTTACTGTTAAATAAATTTGACCTATGATAAAACCTATACATGGAGTGGACAATTTGTAGGCCATGTCATAATTTTTATATTCCTGGATATGAGTTAAGTAAATACAGATAAAGCTACCTCCAATGTGTGAATGATGAAACAAATAAGAGCAAGGGATGTCCTCAGAATTAGGCAAGAGGTCTAGGACTCAATCCATGTCTATACTGCTTACTGCTCTCATTTTACTTCTTAGAACCCGTCTAGATGTCAGTATTTCACATGGAAATAACAAGTCTGCAGTATATTAGTAATTCTCAATAAAATATGTTTTTAATATATTTGTGGTATGTGACTTCATTCACAAAGAAAGAAATCTTATAAGGTGATATTTGATCAAGAGATGTTTATAAAAACTCAGCCCCTCAAAGCTAGATGAGAAATAAACACCCAGCAGGGAATTAACAGTATAAGAGCATAAAGATTTCTCCTGACATCCATCCACCTGGCTTCCCAAAATCTGGACATTGCATTTGGGTCTCTTCCATGTTTCTTCATGCAAGGAAAGTGATGACTTCAACAGGCCTGACAAGAGACTTCAGTGGCTCTGACGTATATCATCTGGCTCACTGTTGATGTAGGCTAAGGGCAAAACCCAAGAAGGACTGAGACGAAGCAGCTTCCTGGCCTCCCCTGTGCCCTGCCAGCAAAAGCACTTTAGTGAATTCTCTTTGGAGAGCCTTACATAAAATCCACCCCCACACCACCCTTTTCTCCTCCAAAGCCAGGCTCAAGTTTAAAGGAAACTTAGGATTTTAAGCTGTCAGACAGCTCAATATTTCAAAGAAATGGATTGACTACAGTAAGTACTAAAGCTAAACCACAAGATTTCAGGCAAAGAAGTATTCATTCCTAATCCCATGAATACATTTAAAACTGGCATTTTTAGCCATATCCAATGGATCATTTGGGGTAGCACAACTAACTTAGAAGTTGTAATCCTTCACCTGAAATTCCCAGCTATTACCTACAACCAAGAGATATTACAAAGGCCAGGTGCGGCTTAAACATTTAAAGACCTAAAGAAAATCGATCCACCTGCATTGATTTGTCCTAGCATCCATGGCAGCTGTTCTAAGAAAGCTTTTGCTAAAACAAATGCAATGAGATTTCTTACTATCACCTTTTAGATACTTTAAAATACCTTGTTTATTTAAAAATTACTGTAATTCACTCTTATTTGCAGAAGTTATTCCCCTCAGAATATTATATAATTTAGGCATCCGAATTTAGAACAAAACAGTTGAAATAAAAGGAAGCTAGTTTCTGGCATGAGTGGTAGTAATCCTATCAATAAGATTAACAATTTTTATAAAACATAAGCTGGCTTGTTTCCCATTAGATTTCACTGTCAACAATATATTCAAAAACTCTGAAGCTGTGATCTTGTTAGAGTTAACTGTTATTAATGGCTAATTAGGATAACAACGATCCATGGTTTTATCGCTGCTAATGAACATGTAACAAAATCCCATCACCCTGGACCCAGTGAAGGTGGAGCAGTTCTGTATACCCCCTGCCAAGATTTGTGAGCCGGGCTATGCCACTCTTTTCAGCTTCAGTATGGAGAGCTCAAGATGCTAGATGCTCAGTAGGTGTCATTAATTCTTCAAACAAAATTCACAGAAGGATAAAGCAGATGGAGAAGACACCTATACCTGAAACTCAAAAGAGGAATAAATGTGAATTATGCACTACAATGCAGAAAAGCATCCAAAAGTAATCTCCTACCACCGTTTCGGTTTCTCAAAGCAGCATAAATCCTATCTCAGACTGCTGAGCTTTCCTGCAGGGATCTGGACTCCACACAAGGTTTTAAAAATATGTCAATAAGCACAGACTTTTCTTTTTTCAATGAAATTTTGTAACATTCCTAACATAAAAACAGCAAGTATTTAATCTTGTAAAAATGTTGGTTTTTTCAAAATGAAACTTTCCCTATTTGTTGGAATCTTCCCCATACATTGGGTGGTATTTGTACTATTTTTACATTTTTTTATTTGAATATAGTTGACACACAATGTTTTATTAGTTTCAGGTGTACTGCATAGCAATTCAACATTTCTATATGTTACTCTATGCTCCCCACAAAGGTAGGTACCATCTGTCACCACACAACACTATTATAACACCATTGACTATATTCCTTTGCTGGATCTTTTATTCCTGTGACTTATTCATTCTAAACAACTGGAAGTCTGTATCTTCCACTCCCCTTCTCTCATTTTGCCCATCCCCTCATCCCACTTTCCTCTGCCAAACGTTGGTTTGTTTTCTGTATTTAAAGGTCTGATTCTGCTTTTTGTTTATTCATTTGTTTTGTTATTTAGATTCCACATAAGTGAAATAATATGGTATTTGTCTTTCTTAGTCTGAATTATTTCCCTTAGCATAGTACCTTCTAGGTCCATCCATGTTGTCACAAATGACAAAACCTCATCCTTTTATCATTATATGGCTATATAATAATCCAGTGTGTGTGTGTGTGTGTGTGTGTGTGTGTGTGTGTGTGTGTGTGTATCACATCTTCTTTATCCATTCATCTATCAATAGACATGTGGGTTGCTTCCATATTTTGGCTACTGTAGATAATGTGCAATAAACAAAAGGGTGCACTTATCTTTTCAACTTACTGTTTTTATTTCCTTTGGGTAAATACCCAGTAGGGGAATTACTGGATCATATGGAACTTCTATTTCTAACTTCATGAAGAACCTTCATACTGTTCTCCACAGTGGCTGCAGTACGTCTGTACT